CTCTCTCTCTCTCTCTCTCTCTCGACACCGCACTGCGTCGATTTTGGAAAGTCTAGGGAATTTCTCGGCGATCTCTTTCTACGCCGCCCGCAAAACAGTGCGAGGAACAGTTCCTCGCCGCTCACTCGCGAGCTCCGGACGGACGTTTTATCGTCCGACTTCTGTTCAAGCAAGCGCCTCCACTCGATCGCGGACAGTCACGTCGTGTCGCAGAAAAAATGATTGTGTCATTGAATGAACAATTTCGCGCAAACCCGGATCTCAAAGGCGAATATTCCGATTCCATGTAGGAATATGAGAATCTCGGTCACGTGCAACGTACGCCAGCCCCGCTCCCCCCGTCCACACCGTGTGTTTACATTCCGCATCATCCTGTAATTCGTTCCAGAAGAGCGACGGCTTACTTACGTAGTGTTTTTAACACGCCGAGCGTTATATCTAACGGATGTTCATTAAACGACCATTTATTGTCCGGCCCAAAATCACAAACGGAGTCGCCTGCGGCTGTGTTGCAATGGCGACAACATCGATGCGGTCATGCGACTGTTCTTCTCTCTCGTCTAATGAAGTTTTTCCGTCCTTTGCTCGGCTCTCGCCCACACTATTACTTTTATTGGACAGACTCCACGACAGTCTTGGCACGGCTGAATGATCATCCCCCTCGATGGAAAATATTCATCACACAACTCGGGATGGTGGCACAGGTTCCCTAGTAACAACCCTGCCGAATGCGCGTCACGCAGGTTGGTCCGGCACGAATTACCCGAGCACATCCTTTCGTGGAAACGATCCTCACGGTTGTGCAAATCATTTAGCTTAATCACCGCAAGCGGCGCCTCCGATACCCATGGACTCTCCTCTCGGAGAGAAGGAGATTTCTCTCCACAGTTCTCCTCACAGTGAACCATGGGATTCTGGTTCACGTTGTTCTCTGTGGCCGCACCTCATTCGAGTCACCGAGTACCTGCAAAAATCCATTCGACTTTGTCGTTTTCGTACAAGCAAACCTTCTTTGTCTACGGCAAGTCACGCCTTGTCCACTGACGATTGTACGTCTGCACAAACGTTCTGGATCAAGTAGATCCGAAGCGACACGTTTTCGCCGGCGATTCGCGCGCTGTCAAGCTAATCAGCCCGTCTCCACGGAAAGCGCTGCACTGCTCGTCGATACGTTCTTGGATCAGAACGATATTTAGCTAATTGGAGGGCGATTAAAAGACTCGTTTGCCCCAATTCATCAGCGACATTCGCTTCTCCTCGCGGCACATCCGTTTGTGAAGTTCATGCTATCTCAAGCGCATCTTCATACGCATCACGGACTGACATTTACATTGAGCACCCTGCATCTCAAAGTTGAATCTTGCGCGCTCACACTCTGGTGAAGAACGTTATCCACCAGTGTGACGCGTGTGTTCGCGCGCTCGGCCCATTCCCCGAAAAAATCATGGGGGATTTACACTTCCCCGCGCGTAACTCCACCCGCTCGGAGTTTCTTGGACTGCGGTCTTGATTACATTGGGCCCGTCAGGATCGGTTCATCCGCCGGGCGCATCATTACTTCGCGGAGAGCATATCTCGCGCTTTTCGTTTTTTTTTCCACCCGCGCCATTCATTTGGAGCTCATTGGTGATTATTTCACGTCCGCATTCCGAGATGCATTTTCGCGATTTTGTGCTCGTTGCGGACTCCCGGCCACCATCTATTAAGATTACGCGACAACCTTCGTTGACACCGACAAGGAGCTGACCATCGAATACCGAGCCGCGCTCCTTCGTTTCTTAATAAAACCGCTTGCGAAAAGTTCGACCGTCACTGGAGGTTGGACAGCTTGCCCTTTTGCGAAATGCGACGCCCCCTCCATGTAAATGGGAGCTCGGTCGAATCGTGCAACTGCATCTCGGTTTCGATGGATTGACTCGCGTAGTTACAGTTAAAACGACGACGTCAAAATTCAAAGGACCGATTGTCAAACTCTGTGCGCTGCCCATTGTCAGCAAAGCGTCTAAATACTAAGTCCCATTGTATAATTAGTTATGTATGTTAGAAACTTTGTATTGATGCCTCGATTTTTAAAGGAGATCTGTATTCCTCAGTGATTCTGGGGTAAGTGCCGTGCGGTCACTCACAGTCCTCCTACCAAAAAGCATCGCTGCCTTCCCCACTCCGCGGCCAGATTCTCTAGGAACAAGGTCCTTATTCTTAAGGCAATGCAACGTCGGGCTGCTTGCCATATCTAACTTTCACTCATCTGTTTCACATAAACAACCCTCGTCGTCGCCGATAGCCGAAGGACCCAGCGTGGCCTTCCGCCACCATACGCCGCCAGGTCTGTTTAGTCTCAAGCACCCTCTCCCACGACCGCACGCATTCTAGGAACCCTAGTCCATAAATTCTCCAACGGTCAATGAGCGACAGGCCATCCGCCTTCGACTCCGCTTAAAAGTCGTTGACGCTAACACGGCCAATCTGACCTGCTTCACGCTCTCGGGAAGCATACATCCAAAAATCATAATGCCTCAAATTCACACTTAACATTTCATACAGTACCCAAGTCCGTGACCGTCACAATCTCTAGACGTCAGCCTCTTGAGCCTCAATATAATCGCGCTTTACAGAGTCCGTGATTGTCATATATAAACATACCTAATTTTGCTTTCCTATTATCAGCAGGTTTAACGAACACTGTCACCTTCCTTATATTCAATATTATTTCTACGCGTTTTATTGAACCTAGCATCTTGATTCACGGCATTTTCCTCTAATCGTTTGGCTGCAACGTCTCTATCGCGAATCACATCTATTTCTTCTCCTGTAGGAGGTAACTGTTCTTCAATACGCACCACTGTGCCAGGGCCTTGATCTAACCCAAATAGCCAACGACTCGGTGAAAATCCAAGTTTTCTGTACTGTCGTATTTAAGGTCAACATTAGCTTAGCTAGTTTGTTCGGCCATTCTGTCCCCTTTTTAATCTCTACTGTCAAAAGGTTAGTTACAGTCGCTACATAGCGCTCGGCCTGACCATTAGCTCGTGGAGCTCCCGTAGCAATAAAATGATCCTCGCTACCGTGTTTCATAATGAACTGCTGCAATTGTTTGAATGTGAAATTTGTACCCTTATCAAAAACAATAAGACGGGGCGTACCAAACAGTGTCAATCGTTCCTTAAAAACTTGTACAGTCTCGGAACCGCTTAAGGTTTTTAACGGGACTAACTGAATATATTTTGTGAATGCATCTACTATTATCAGAATGTGTTGATATCCATCCTTAGAAATTTCAAAAGGCCCGACACAATCGCAGTGGATTGTATGAAATGGTATACATTTTTTTGGAATGGAATGTAAAAGACCCTGCCTCGGTCCTGTATGTCGTTTAGAAACAATACAAGTAAGACAATGATCTAAATATTTCCTTACAAATGCCCGCATCTTCGGAAACCAATATTTTTTTGAAATTCGATCGTATGTTTTCTCATGACCAACATGACAGTTTTCGTCGTGATAAAGACGCAACAAACCAAACCTACTTCCCTGCGGCACAAAACTTCGATAAACAATTCGTCCTGCACCCGTAAGTATTTTCCGACACAAAATATTTTGTCGCACATCAAAGTCACTAGTTATCGCATCATCATTATGCACCCGTCGGATCAAATTCTGAGTTTCCTCATCTTTCTCCTGAGTTATCTCTAACCATGAGCCTTCACACATGACATTAACGCGACAATCTTTCGGAGGGTGGCGACTTAAATAATCAACATGTTCGACCTGCTTCCCCTTACGATACTCGAGGTCAAAAGTAAAATCCTGCAGGTAAATCCACCACCGAGCGATACGAGGTAATAAATCACGTTTGGTGCTGGTAGCTTTTATGGCATTGCAGTCGGTAATGATTTTAAACTTAATACCCAAAAGGTAAACACGAAAATATTTCAATGCATTTACTATTGCTAATGTCTCTAATTCATAAGAATGGTAACGAGATTCCTCGGGTGTTGTACGTCGACTAAAATATGCAACGACACGCAGGTCTCCATCCATTCTTTGAAATAATATGGACCCATAACCGATTGAACCAGCATCGGTGTGCAGCTAAGTCTCTCTCTTCGGATCGAAGATAATCAATAACGGTTTTGAACTTAATTTGTCCAAAATGTAATTACGTGCATTCTCTTGACTCGGACCGCAGCACCAAGGTTGATTCTGTCTTAACAATTTCGTAATACATGAGGCCCGCGAAGCAAATTCAGGAACGAATTTACGAAAATAACTCGCTAATCCCATAAACTGCCTCACTTGTTTTACATTGATTGGGACCGGCGCCTCCAACAATGCTTTTATTTTCCCACTACCTGGTCTGATACCTTCCCCCGATATTTCTCTTCCCAGATATTCTAGTTGTGTTTTGAAAAATAAACATTTCTTCATATTCAAAGAAAATCCCGCCGTATCTAAAGCTTGTAAAACTTGCTCCAGGCGATCTAATCCTTCTTCGATAGTTTTGGACGGAATTAAAATGTCATCCAAATAAACTAATGCTATACTATTTCTCAAATTGTCTAGTGCGTTATTAATAGCTCGTTGAAAAATAGCTGGTGCATTGGCAAGACCAAACGGCATTCGCAAAAATTCGTAATGACCGTTGGGCGTTACAAACGTAGTCTTTTCAATAGAATCTTCCGCAATTGGAATTTGATAAAAACCCGACGCCATATCCAATGTGATAAAATATTTGGCATCGCCTAAACGATCTAACTGATCATCTATTAAAGGAAAAGGATATTTGTCCTTTATCGTAATCCTGTTTAACGCCCTAAAATCAATACACATACGATCCTCACCGTTCTTCTTTTCAACAAGAATATAATGGGACTCGCATATGAAGACGTACTCTCACGAATAATCCCGTTCGTCATTAATTCAGAAATTATTTCACGAACCTTCTCTCGCTCCGAAATAGACAAACGATAAGGATGGTAACTCACCGCTCGGTCCTCTTTTGTAGCAATTTTCATTTGCCCTGTACTCACGCATCGAACGTTACTCCCTACTGCAATCATGTCCTTATGTCGTTCCAGCAGTTCTCTTAAGCCGCTACGAGCCTCCTCGGCTACCTCCCCCAGGACACAGCACATCGGATCGGATGGTCCTCCACCGTTCCGATTTTTCTCCGACACGCGTTCAAGTTTTGTTGTCCCGTCCGAATCGGTTACCATCCGTAACCCACCACAACTCAAAACATTTTTTCCAACGATAAGTTCGTATGGAACAAACTTATCCGACACAACAAATAAATCAACCTCCAACGACAGTCCATCCACTTCTATCACAACAGTCGTACTACCGACTGTCTTTACAGTAGAGTCCGAAATGCCCCGTATCGTTGTTGTATACGAGTTTATTTTGCAATTAGCTCGTCTGGCTACTCGTTCTTTAATTAAAGAACACGTTGCTCCACTGTCTATTAAACTATCGCGAACCAGAATATCGCGTATCACAACAGGTGTCAATTTATGGTCGACGGAATAACAGACATTCATCTGGTGCTTTCCGTCATTCATATCCGGCTTCTTCGCTACCTGGCCCTCACGGGTTGCACGTCTTTTCGCCCAGCAGTTTACCTCCTCGTGTCCCCGCTTGGAACAATAAGTGCAGGTAACAACTCGCCTTAGTGGACTTCGTTTTGGGGAGTGACGTTTCGGCGAATTCCGTCTCAAAGGGCTACGTTCCCTATCCAACCGCGGTTTCTTGGTACACTGTCTAGACGTATGGCCCACAGTGTCACAGGTGTAACAACCCATTCGATATAAAGGACGTGCTCTCTCTGCTTCGTGTTGTTCCTCCTTTTCTCGAGGAATCTTCTTGTACTCGGATATCCCCACAAGTAAATCCGTCGTGGTATTATATCGTGCGTTCAACATCGCCTGCCGCACATTTGGATCGGTAATTGTAGTTACGGTCGCGAAATTCAGGGACGAAACTAGCAAATCGTCGTTGGTCAAACAAAAAAAACAAATCAACTCCACAATAAGTTCGATGAATTCGGCGGTAGAAAATGAAACCCTCGTTTGTTTTAAATACGTCAGTTTTGTACGTGCGCATTCAGCATAACTGACTACTCCGTCACTAGCGTATTGTAATGCACGCAAAAGACGATCGTGTAATTTCCTCTCACAGACAAACATTGCGCACAAATCTTCTCGGAATTTTTCCCACGTACACGGTTGTGCTTCCCATCCCTGATACCACTTCTTCGCTGGACCAACAAGCGCATGAGTTGCGAGACTTAATCTCTGATGCGGCACATCTTTTGTTAACTCCTCCACCCTGGTACACCACAGATTTGCGTCGTCGCCCAAATCGGCCCCACTAAACTGCGGCATCGCTCCCACAGGAGCAGGAGTAGATGAATTAACAGGAGCTGCAGTACACGCAGTCACACTCGATCCAATTTTTTCCTATACCTGACGCACCAGCTCATCAAGAGGGGATGCCTCATTTGCCATCATTATTATTTTTATTAATAATAACCACACAAAAAGAACACACTAATACACGTTTACAAACGCGCACACACCAGACCGATATTCAATAAGATAAATCTTATTCACTTCGTTGTGGACGCAAAAGCTACTTTATCCCGCTTCTGATGTTAGAAACTTTGTATTGATGCCTCGATTTTTAAAGGAGATCTGTATTCCTCAGTGATTCTGGGGTAAGTGCCGTGCGGTCACTCACAGTCCTCCTACCAAAAAGCATCGCTGCCTTCCCCACTCCGCGGCCAGATTCTCTAGGAACAAGGTCCTTATTCTTAAGGCAATGCAACGTCGGGCTGCTTGGCATATCAAATTTTCACTCATCTGTTTCACATAAACAACCCTCGTCGTCGCCGATAGCCGAAGGACCCAGCGTGGCCTTCCGCCACCATACGACGCCAGGTCTGTTTAGTCTCAAGCACCCTCTCCCACGACCGCACGCATTCTAGAAACCCTAGTCCATAAATTCTCCAACGGTCAATGAGCGACAGGCCATCCGCCTTCGACTCCGCTTAAAACTCGTTGACGCTAATATGTAAGTGCGCCATATATTCGTTCTACGTGCGTCATTAATTCTAAGTTGCGTTTTTCCGTTAAGATTTTCGACTTATGATTACCGAGTCAAGGCGGGCAGAATATTAGTTTTGAAACTATCGTTTCAAGGCGGGCGGTATGTTTGAAATTCGACTAAGTTGCTCGTGCACCGTCGTGCGGCCGCGGTTTCCCGAGTTTTGACGAAGTCTCGCGAGATTTCGTCGCGCTCCTCGTTAATTCTACGCTATTGTCTAAAAATAGGTAGACACGGGAAACCTAATATCCTTTATACCATGGACGATATTAATTAACTCCACTTGGTTGGCGCACAATGCTACATAATGACTTATTTTTTTTAATTCAGTTTACAGATCGTAATTTCTGAGTGTTGCTTTTTTTCAAATTCTTCGTAATGACATTCTCTATCGATCTGTCCAACCTAAATTTTTAATTTCGTTGCTCATTTTTTTATAATTATATGTATTACATTACATTTATTATGTTATATGTGTGTATATGCAGGGTGGGGCAATAACTATTACCACCTCAGATATCTTCGAAAGTATAAGGTTCACAGAAATATTTGTTCCACCAAAATTGCACAGAACGAAGAGAGCCATCCGATGGTCCTAATAGTTTTTTTGCGGGTGAAGGTACTTTTGATATTTCAGGGTCACCTCCATTTTTTTAAATGGGTCGGTATGTTTTAGATTCCGTAGAATGATAGAGGAGCTTAAAACGAGTTTACCGACCTATTACATAAGATCATAGTAGGTGTTCGAAATGATGACCATCGTTACCAATTTAACACTGGATTCTTTTTATGACTGATTGACGTGCAAGTCTTATAACGTCAGATCTTATTGACGCACAGGCTGGAATAATTCGCTGTTGCATTCCTTGGGGTGTAGTTAGTACCTCTTTGTACACTTTATCTTTCAATATTCCCCATAGCAAGAAATCTAGAGGTGTTAAATCTGGTGAACGAGCTGGCCACAATATTAGATCGCCGCGTCTAATCCAACGATTTTGAAATTTTTCATCGAGTTCCCTTCGCGCAATCAATGAATAATGTGCTGGGCATCCATCATGTTGATACCACATGGTTTCTCGTGTAAATAAAGGCAATTCTTCTAGCAAAGGACCGAATCATTCTTAATAAAATTAGCATAGATGTTGTCGTTCAAATTTCCATTAATAAAATGATAATTTTATCACCTGTAATATCGCACCATACGTTCACAGACCAATGTCTCTGGTGTTCAACCTTCCGCAGCCAATGTGGATTTTCCGATGCCCATAAATACATGTTATGCAAATTAAAATTCCCGTGATTTGTAAATGTTGCCTCATCAGTAAATAAGACGGTATTAAGAAGTAACCCATTGTTTTGGATCTGATGTTTAGCTTACCGACAAAATTCAACAGGATTCATGAAGTCGTTCCCCTGCAATTGTTGGTAAAGACAAACATGGTACATGGTACATGGTACATGGTTCAGCATACAAGTTTTTTGCCTTGACAGAATTTTATTGACATTCGCCATAAATAAGAATCATCTCGATTTGCTCTTTGTTTCGGAATGAAAATATAAGAGACGCGTTCATCCAAAGTAAATAGAACAGGGTGCTTTCGCACCATACTGCGAGCCTGCCAACGATTGCGTGCGCCCAACGACGATTTGCTAGTTTCGTCCCTGAATTTCGCGACCGTGGTGCGTTAGAGCGCGTGCGTTAACGTATTTACCACATCTGCGCAACTCTGTTCGAACTATCGATTATCTATCGATATTTTACAGTGATCGATATTCTTGGAACCAATCCGGCGCTTCTCTGAAAAATCCTAACGAATTTTGAACTAAAACCAGTAAAAACTTCGCTGCTCGCCGAGCATTCTGTCGTGAACCTTTGTAGTAATCGCAGATCTTAACAAACTTTTCATTTTTCAACTCGTGTGTTAATTATCGCAATACCACAAGTGTTATATTTATCGCTCTCGACGCTCAAGTACAATTGTGGCGAAAATCGGCGATTAGTGTAAACGATTTTCGTGATCGCCTAGATTTTTCGTGTACGGCACTCTCGATCATCACTTCGAGGCTCTCCAGTGCCTACCGAGTGTAATCGTGTTTTCGTGAGACATTGTTAAGACTCTCAACAATAAATTGTTCTGGCCAAACTCCGGTGTGTTTTTTCGCTGCAACACCACCTTCAGTCCGTATCCTTTTCATGATAGAACTAGCTATCCCAGAGCGGTCGTTTCAATCCAATAATCGACTCGGCCCGTAATAAACTCCCAACATAAACACTCTTTAAAGGGATACATCCTTCCCGGTTGACCGATACAATACTACTCTTATCATGTTTATCTTATAATCTGCAAACTTATTAAAGTGTACTTTAAACAGTGTTTATTTTCAGTGAAGTAAATTGTAAGCATTATCGCTTTTCTCTACTTTCTATGACCTTCAATGACCTTACGTAATGGGTCGTTGAACTCGTTTTAAGATCCTCTATCATTCTACCGAAACTTACCTATTCATTTAACACAATGGAGGTGACCTTGAAATATCCAAAGTACCTCCACTTGCAAAAATACTATTAGCGCCATCGGATGGCTCTCTTCGTACTGTGCAATTTTGGTTAAACTAATATTTCTGTGAACCTTATAGTTTCGAAGATATCTGAGGTGGCAATAGTTATTGCCCCACTCTGTATTGTCCCGAAATATCTATACACCCTAAGTTTCTTCAAATAAACTCATTTTCTGAAATTTCTCTTCGTCATATTGGATTCGTCATTTTGAATGTTGCAAATCTAACATCAAAAAAGCCCACAGGTACTGATCATCTTAAAAATTGTTATGTTTCGCTAAATATAAATAAAGGAACAACGAAATTGAATCTAGCCCAGACAGATTGATAGAGAATTTCATTATGAAGAATTTTAAAAAAGAGTTTTAAATTTACTCAAAAATTACGACGTGTAGACTGATTTCAAAGAAATAAGTCATTATGACATATATTTAAAAAATTTGTTAGTCGTAACCCAGTTGTCAAATTGATAAAACAATACATTTTTCATATTTTTGCACTGCAAAAATAACTTTAACTATACAACAAAAAATTAGTTAAGAAGAACGATTCTTTACGATTGAAATGAAAAAAATCAAGGTCATATCTATAATAGTTGTGGAAATCAAAATTTCTTTGTCAACATAGTTTTCGTAAGAATCAGTAAACATTGCCAAATTTGAGAGTCCACACTTTCTAAACAGTTTTGAGACAATTGATATGATGACTTAAACCACCCGCCCCCCATATTCACGTGGACCATGACATACTTCAATTTCAGCAAAATTCCAACATCGTGTACAAAAGTGATCCGCTTTCACGCCAATTAAATCTGTCAATTTTTGTACGCCAAACCAATCAGATGTACAATATGGTTAGGGAAAGGAAATATGGGTGAGATTAGCGTAAATTTAAAATTGTTCCGGAGCTGATGTTATCCCGTATGGGGGATTTGCGATCGGGGTGGTAGAAATTAACTTACCTGCGGATTGGTTTAATGGAGATGCACGTAGTTTTATTTAATGTGAAAAAACTGTATGCATTGATCTCACACTAATAAATATAATAAAACACAATTGTGGTGTCGGGTATAGTGGACCGCGTCAAAACGAAAGCGATACCCCGTTGCGCGATCTCGGCGCCGTCCAGACCGACACTCTTGAACTGTTTACGTTAAGATACAGCGTTGGACTGTTTAGTTTTAAGGAACTGTGTGTGGTATGTGTGTGTTTCGTGCGGAGGGTGCGAGCTCGTCGCCTTTTCCTTTGTACGACGACGAGTTAGTCGAGAGAAAAACGTGCGTTAGTGAACTTCGACCTGCGAGGTGCGGTCGAGATCGAGTATTGAGTATTGCGTTGCAATTGATCCTGCGAGGTGCGGTCAGTAGCGTGTAGATCTGTGTTTTTTTATGTTCTTTTTCTTTATTATTAAATATATATATACTGTTTTATTTTTCCCGTGAGTGGTCAATTATTTTATCCCACACAATTGATGTTTCACGGTGTTACAATTTAACGGTTATAGCTTAAAGGCTATGGTCCACGTGTGTGGTAACGATTGGTTGGATAAAAGGAACGGTAAAACACGTGGTGATCGATGTGCGATTATAAAACGATTATAAAGAAGCCAGAGGTCACCGGAAAATGCGGTGACGACGATCTGAGTCGCTCGGAAAGGGGAATTACACGCCTGACCGAATTGCGGGTCACGCGCACGCGGTAATCGCGATTATTACGCCAAT